GGACGGACAACAGAAAAGTGGGTGAAGGAGACATCGGACAGTGTAAGACATGACAAAACAATAATTTATAAATTATCAAGGGTTCATAAGGTAGTGGGGAGTGGGGAGGGAGGGGAAAAAATGAGGACCTGATGCCAGGGGCTTAAGTGGAGAGGAAATGTTTTGAGAATGATGAGGGCAACAGATGTACAAATGTGCTTTATCCAATTGATGTATGTATGGATTGTGCTAAGAGTTGTATGAGCCCCCAATAAATTGATTTAAAAAATAATTAAAAAATAAAAATATATAAATACAGTTCCATGCGTAAAGTGAAGAAGGGAAGTTTCTAAAAATGGGAAAAGTGCTTCCCATTCATTCTGGTGCCAAAGGGGATGCAAACATTGTTAGGACTCTTAGATAGAGTCAAGCTTTACCTTCCAAACCCACCTACACATCAGAGTTTTGACCTAAAGGTGCCTCTATTTTTACCCCTATATTGTAAGACTACACCAGTCTGGGACTGTAAGGCATGCTTACCGATAAGAACAGCAGCCTGGACAAGGAGCCTGTTCTGTCACGGTACCACATTACTAGAATAAGTCCACTTTGTAAAGGACAGCAAAGATCCAATTCAAAACCATCCAAGTCAAAATCCAAAACAATCAACTATAAATTACCTAAGGATGACAATGTAAAGAAATGAACACTTAGTTTTTACCTGTTGTTTTCTTTTGTCTTTTTGGTAAACCACCTAAAAAGATTGTGATAGATTAAAATAAAAACTGCAATCTAGAATTTGGGAGATGAGATAAGGAGAAAGTATTTTTTAACTTCATCAGGTAATTCTGGCACAGTGGTACAAACGAGGGGGTTGCAAAAGGTTCATGAAAAACTTCATCATCTCGTCCTCCTATTTCCCCACGGCGGGTTCAAGGACTACCTTGGAAGTCCTTCAAGAACTTAAAATTGGCCAAATCCAGGAACGGACCACAGTACCAGAGGCCAACCTGTAATATTCCCATCAGAAGTGAAATGGTCAAGAATGAGTACATTCTACAACTAAATTTTATCAGCTCCAGGTGGTGTCCAAACATTAAAAAGCACACACAGAATTGAGGAACTAAAATCATTCTTGTTTTCTGCACTCTTTGTTAGGAGGCCCAGTATTTCCTGACACCGGAAATGGTGAGTGTTGCTTTCACAACATGGCTGATATGATGGTTTTCAAAGTTAGCTGGAACACATTAAACTATGTAGAACAATATACCAGTTTTCAAACTTTTCCATTTTAGGTCCCTAAATGGTCCACATTTTGTCATCCTTTTCTAAAACCTTTCCCTTTACTACACCAAACCAAAGCACGCTGAGCCGCCATCAACGTTCATTCCCACTACATCAAATGAAAAGTGCCAAACCAGCTGCAACCAATTGGTTTAGGCAGCTAAGGGTCTCTGGTGGTCAATATCGAATCAGAAGTGGCTTGTGTGTGGCTGTGACTATATACTGAGACTCAATTCTGACCCATAGCGACCCTGTGCATTTCCAGGGCTGTCAATCTTTCCAGAGGCAGAAAGCCTCATCTTTCTCCCTCTGAGCAGCTGGTGGTTTAGAATTGTGACCTTGCACTTAGCAGCTCAACAGGTAACCCACTCAGTAAGTCATTAGGGCTCCTTTACTAAGACTCAATAAGTGTATTTCATTTACAGTGCAAAGAACAGAAATTACGTGAGCATTAGTCCCCAAATCTCTTTAGAAACCCATTCAAATGGAAGCACACCTTGGGTAGGTTTAGCTACTTTAAGTTCTCTGTAAAACATTAGTTAAAGAAAAAACACTTTTTGGTAAGGATTCAATGGCAGAAGTCCTTGAAGGAATGCCAGCCACTAATATATGATCAAAACTACTCTTAACTCCTCTTTAAAGCAGAACTTAATCGTGGAAACCCCAAAACTTGTTTTGATAGCACATCTCCAGGCCTCTAAATTTTACAATTTAATAGATGTGCTGAGAACAATTCACTCTTTTAACCAACATCCTTATCTAGAAATACCGATTTTCAATTCCAGACAGACAAAATGAGGAAGGAACAATATAAATCTACTTTTCAGCTTGCCACACTCCTTCCTTCAGACCACATTACTACTGCAGAGATGAACTGTGCTACCAATATCCCATTCCAGAGGGTTCTTAAGCATCTCAAGAAAAGGTGCTTTGAAAGGGCGAGCCAGATTGTGTAGTAGGAAAATAAATGTCCTAATAGATTCTGGTGGAGGATAACTGGGCCAGTTGGAACAGTGTCCTGTCATCTGTATCTCCACTTACCCTCAGTAACATCCTGGGGGTTGGAAGTCCGGTCACTGGCTGGATCCAGGGCAACCGTGGCGAGCGAAGTGGTGACCCCTGACATGTCACTCATGGGCTCGCTGCGGCTGGTTTCAGGCACACTTTCCCGGGAGCTGAATCTCACTCGGGAACTAGATCTCGAGCTGAAGTCCGGGCTGGTGTCTGACAGACCGGGAATGTCATCAATCTTTGTGGGGGTCACCATGAACCGAACTGAAGCCATCTTGGTGGTGGTTTCGGGAGGATGCATTTTTTTAAAATTCCTTTTTAAGGACACAGAAAATAGGACACTCCCTCCAAATCTTTTCTGCTATACCAATTTTGATTGCGGACGTAGAAAATATGTATTAAAAACAAAACAAAAACCTCAATTACCTTGATTCATAACACACAAAAACCCCAAAGACTCCTACTTAGAATTCAAGCAAACCATCCTAGAAAGTTCACCACCAATAAGGAGGTGCGAGGAGAAGGGGGGCTGTTTTGAGGAAGGCAGAGGGTGAAACGAGGACAAAAGGATGTCACTCTCGGGTAATGTCCTTCCCAAGGAACAGCGACCTAGTTATCTGCCCGGGTCCAGTGCCATGGTCTCAGCGTAGCAGGTGAAGCAGCCTCTCTCCCCGTGGCCCCCAGGTTCAGGCAGAGGTAGGTAGTTCGTATCTGGTGAAATGTTCCAGGGTGCCAGCTGAGCAAAGTGCACGCAGGCCCACCCTTAGCGGGCGAACATGGCATAGATCAGATCGCAAAAAGGTGTACACCAGCCACCTGTTGTATTATCAGGTGAACACCTCGCAGGTCTGGCTGGGAGGAGGCGTGTGCAGAGCCACTCGGTGTTTCTGAGGCCGACAATCCACTCGGGTCTGGTGGGAAAGGTGCGCATGCATAACGGGACAAATATCCCACACGACTGGCTGGAGGAGAACGAGGAGTGGAAGGGGAGCCAAGGACGAGGCAGGGGCAGAGGGATGCCGGCGCTCAGAGGGCTCCGGGTGGCTGGCCCGCGCTCCTGGTCCCTGAGCTCTGGGAGGAAACGGCTAGCGGATCAAGACACCTCGAACTGCAGCTCCAGGTCGTGGCAAGTCGTCGCTAGTCCATCGAACCCAGTCTGCTCACTGAGCTTCTCCTGCGTGTGACGGGAAGGGCACCCCCTTTTGCCAGAAGACGCTTCCTTCCCTACCAGGGCCCCGGTGCAGGGTAGCCCCTCGCTGTCCTTGCGTCGAGTCCTAGCAGAACCGGAGCCGGCCACGTAGGCTGCTCCGGAAAGAAGAGGCGGCGGCGGGGAGAAGGCGAGGAGGAGGTCGCAGGTGCGAGATCCCGGCGCCAGCTGATGCGGCTGCGCGCGCAGCTGTTGTTTACTAGCCGGTAACTGTTTCGGAGCTGCGGCGCGCGCAGCAAGGGAAGACGCGGGCGGCCGGGAAGGGCGCCCCCTCCCGGACTAGAC